CCCCAAAACCCCAAAACCCCAAAACCCCAAAGTTTGTCCAGCTCCAATTTATTTATCCTTGGTCAAGGTGATAGTGGAGGCTTTACAGAAGGATTTTTTCCCCATCTTCGTGTGGACGCTCCTTCTTCGCTTGGAGATTGTCCCGATATCCCTTCTTTTAATGTTCTTTTGAATAGCATCTGATAACACTCTTTTTCTTGATAAAGACCCTAAATATTAGAGACAGATTTTTACTCTTTTTACCAAGTCTTAACATTGGAGTTCCGGACCTTGATTGGCCAAACCCGCTAAAGAATAAGAGATAACTGTACCGAAAGCTGCCATCTTGAGTGCGATTTAACGAACAACTTGATACTACATCATTACTGGGTGTGAGTACCTGAAAACAAATATTTGCTCTTCTTGGGATCTGTTTCTATTCTGCTCACTTGAGAAAATCTCGATTTTGAGGATAAGATATTAGTCTTTTTGGTGACATAAGGATTATCCACAACTTTCATAACTTCTACACCACTTTTAAGCATAAATGTTACTCTCTCTGTTGAAAGCAATCTTGTCTTGAACTGTTCAAGCCTAATTAGGAAGTTAAAATGTCCCAGGAGAAGAGTATAACCTTGACTTACAGTTGTCTTGAGTGTACTCTTGCTTTTATTCGTCTATAGTTTAATTCTGAATATTACATTAGATAGAGTCAGCAGCATGGCTTCATCAGCTTTTGAATCTTTCCTCTGGAGTCTGTCTAATGAGTTCTATAGAGTAATTTTGGACCAAATACATATTTCTGCTCTAACATCATACGTCTTTGGAACAACTTCTGGAACTGAAATTTCTTCACACTAGTTTCTTTTGATTTCAAATATCTGTACAATAGATCTTGGTTAAGTTTCTTTTTATAGAATTGTGAGTCCTATAATATTTATTAAATACTGTAATCTCGATTTTCTTAACACTAGGGATGTAGATATTACCTTGAAATCAAAGGTTGTAGCCTGCATCTTTTTTAGGGCTTCTTCTCTCATCTTTACACTTGGTGATTTGATTCCTTCTTCACTATCCTCAAAGAGTGATTGTCTTATTGACCGAATGTCTTCCATAATAGTTGCTAAAATCATTAAAGATCAGTACCATTATCAAAAATACTTCTTTTATAACTTCTGGACTTTGAGCGGGATCTGCTCTTGCTCTTATTAGACTTAGATTTTTCTGAAGAATTATGGATAAAACAGTACTGTTTGAACTATCTTGGCCCTCATCTATTAAAGTTTACTTTAATTTTACCCTTATTATCCTCAAATCTGACGATCTGTAGTGGCATCCTGCCCGTTTGTTCATACAACTCCTCCATTGTTTTAGAGCAATTTATGTATCTGAACAATGTCAGATGAGGGTAGTATTGGGTTTCTTACATATCTTCATCATATTCTTATTGCCATTGAGAATCTCACTAGCAACTACCTCCCAATATGATTCATGCTTCTCATCCTCGTCATAATGAAGAGGAGGAGCATTTATAGTTGGCAATTCTATATTGAGTTAGCTAAGGCTTGATCAAATTTGTTAGAGATAGTTCTAAACTTAGGTTTTCATAACAGAGTTGTATCGGCTTTCATCTTAGCGCAGAAGTCGTTACTTTCAACAAGAATTACCTTTAACAAATTTTATCTTCTTTATAGCTTCTCTAAAATCCACAGGTTTATTATTAACTTTTGCTAGCTTGAACTTAAATTCTTTCCCAGTACTTCTTTGTTTGATTGGTGAAAATTGAACTATATTAAGATTTTAAGAATGATTTCATTCTTTAATTCTTAGCTCAAATGAGCAATGAGCTCATATTAATAAAACTGTGAAGTCAAAGGATCTATGCAGTTTGCCAATGAATTGCAACACCAACCATTATTAGAAGTAATGTCTGTATTCTTCCGACTGATGCGTTTCCCTAGGATATCCTTGTTTTTGAGGTTAGACCTACAGAATTATCACCTAATTTGGAAGAAATACTACCGTTTATTGCAATCAGTACGCCTTCGGTCTTGTAATGTCCGATTGATGCCAAAAAGGCTAGCTTCATCAATCTCTGCAGCCCCTTCTGACCCTTTTGGATCAGAATCTGCCTTGTAGGAAATCATTCTGGAATACATTTTTGATGCCATTTTCAGCTTTTTGTGTTACAGCTTAATAACTCAATTATAATTTTATTATCTGGGGTTTTGGGGTTTTGGGGTTTTGGGG